CATGAGTTCTTCCTTCCCCCATCGTCGCGTGTAGAGCACGTGCTCGGTTGCACACCTCTAAAACCCAAGCTCGCCCAGCGTGGTGTCAAGCTTGGCGTTCCATGCTCGAGGGGCTTGCCTCAGCCCGTAGAGCGCTTTGCGCAGTTGAAGCACCCTGTGCTCCTCTCCCTTGACAGCAAACCCTAGAGGTTGCCTGACGAAGACCGTTTCCGCTAGCTCACCGTTGAGGAAGGCCGATTTAACATCCAAGTGATGGACGCGCTAGTCCTTTGCTGCCGCCAAAGCAAGTAGCAAACAGACCGACTCCATGCGCGCTACTGGTGCAAAGACCTCCTCGAAGTCGATAACCTCGCGCTGGACAAAGCCTCGGGTGACAAGGCGCGCCTTGTACTTGACAATGGCGCCAAGCTCGTCCCTTTTGACTTTGTACACCCACTTCAGGCTGATCGGACGACATCCTAGGGGTGGATCGATGAGCTGCCAAGTCTCGTTTTCCTCGATCGCCTTCATCTCCTCCAGCATTGCCCGTTGCCAGTTTCCATCGCGCTTGGCTAGCGCGAACATGGGTGGTTCCTCTACGCTGACGAGTAGCAGCTCTACGTCGTTGACCAGCCTACCCGCCAGACCTGAGGGACCTGTGCCGCCGACGATGTCGTCCAGCCTGCGGAACCTCAACTCCTCACCTTTGTGGTAGGCGTCCACAAACTCAGTGATGTCACTTGGAGGTGAGGCGAACTCGATCGGGAGTGATGGAGTTCCTTCTTCCGCCGGAGTGCCCTGCATAGCACCTGAAGTGCTCGGTACTGCTTCTAGACTGCTCGTCATAACTCCTGCAGTGTTCGGCCACACTGTAGGAGTGCCCAGCCTCAGTCTTGGAGTGGTCGGAACCACAGTAAGACGTATTGGCTCCGCCACGGGAGTGCTCGACACCCGTCCTAAAGTGGTCGCCACCACAGCAGAACCTCCTGGCTCCACTCCTGGCGTGCTCGGCATTCCTCTAGAAGTGCTCGACACTCCTCCTAGAGTGCTCGGCATCCCTCCTGAAGTGCTCGGCACTGCCCCAGAAGTGCTCGACTCTACCGCCGGAGTGCTCGGTGCTCCTCCCGGAGTGCATGGCACCTGTTCCGCAGCGTCTCCACCGCCATGGATGACCAAGTGCTCGACGCCGAAGGTGTTGGTGAAGCCTCCTGCTTCCCCCGTGCTCGGACTGTGCCAGTCCCAAGCTGCCTCCTCATTGAACACAACATCGCGCAAGACAGTCACCTTGTCTCCACGTGGGTCATAGAGCCGGTACGCCTTGGTACCCTCCGCATAGCCCAGGAACACCATGGGTGTGCTCCTGTCCTCTAGCTTGGTGAGGTTTGGCTTCGTCTTCCTGACGTGGCCGATGCAACCGAATGTCCGGAGGAATGACACGTTCGGCTTGCTCCCGTACCAAGCTTCGAATGGCGTCTTGCCCGTTAGGGCTTTGGTTGGAGCGCGGTTGAGGATGAACACCGCCGTGGTCACCGCCTCTCCCCAAAACTTTACCGGCATCCCTTTGGCCTTCATCATGGATCGGGCCATGCCGACCACTGTCTGGTTTCGTCGCTCCACCATGCCATTCTGTTGTGGCGAGTACGGCGCGGCGTGATGTTGCCCCACACCTTGATCCGTGCAGTACATAGCAAACTCCACTGAAGTGAATTCGCCACCCCGATCAGTCCTCAGTATACGGAGCTTCTTGCCGCTTTCGGCCTTCGCGTGCGTCTTAAACTTCTTGATCGCCACCGCCGCTTCATCCTTGCTCGTCAGGAGTTGTAGCCACATGTAGCGACTGCAATCGTCCATGAGTAGGAGGAAGTACCACCGACCACCGCATGTAGCAGGCGTGATCGGCCCGCAGAGGTCGCCGTGAACTAGCTCGAGAGCTTCCTTCGCGCGATACTTGGCCGCCTTTGGGAAAGGTAGCCTCCTCTGCTTCCCGGCCAGGCAGCTGTCACACAACTCGCCTCTGTGTTTGATGTGGGGTAGCCCTCGGACCATCTTCCCTAGCCGACCAAGCACGTCGAAGCTGAGATGTCCGAACCGGGCATGCCACATCCACGGTTCCTCGGAGTGCCTTGCCGCCAGGCAAACCGGCTGCTCTACCTTCAGGTCGAGCAGGTACAACCGGTTCAGGGACCTCTTTACCTTGGCGAGAAGTCGCTGCTCCTGGTCTCTGATCCTCAGAACGCCGTCCTTGATCAGAACCTCACTACCGCGCTCATCCAGCTGACCAATGCTGATGATGCTAGAACGCAGCTGCGGGATGTAGTATACATCCATTAGCGTGCGGTGCTCCCCATTCTGGCATCTGAAGATGATGGTGCCGCGCCCTTGGATAGCCACCCTTGAGCCATCACCAAACTTCACCGTACCGGTAACATCACCGTCGAGCTCGGAGAAGGAGTCCTTAGAGCCCGTCATGTGGTTACTAGCACCAGAGTCCAGATACCATTGCTGCTCCTGGTCGACGCCCACATGCCCAAGATGGACTTGGGCGCGTGGTTCGTCGAGGTTAACGGTCTTCAGGGCCTTGCTAGATCCTTCCACCGTCGTCGCCTCTTCCCTCTCCATGGCCTCGATGTCATGCAGTGCACAGAACGTCGCCATAAGGATAGTGGCCTCATCCTCATCATCGGCTTTCGCTAGGTGAGCCTGAGCCTTCTTTTCCTTCTTGAGATTTGGGCACTCCCGTGCCTAATGGCCCATCTTCCCGCAACACCGACAGGCGTTGGAGTCGATTTGCTTCTTCTCCGAAGAAGCCCTACCGTGATGTTTGCCGTTGCCACCGCGACTGGAGGAGGCTGCCTTCCTGGAGTTTCACCGAGCAGCCCACTCCTCTTCCGTTAGCAGGAGTTTCCCGCTGTCATTCATTGCTGTCGCCTGCCCCAGGCGCTCGTCCACCGCCCGTAGAAGGCCTGCCACATCCTCGATGGTGAGGGTGGACAAGTCTAGCATCATCTCTATAGAGAGAGCGATCTGGATGTACTTTGCCGGCACGAAGTGGAGGAATTTGGAGACCGCCTCCTCTTCGTCGATGGTGACGCCATGGCTCTTCAGCTTGGTGATGAGCGTCTGCAGGCGGAGGGAAAAGTCCTCCACTATTTCACCATCCTTGAACTTGAGGTTTGTGTACTCCTACTTCAGAAGCTGGGCCATCGCCTTCTTTGTGCGGTCGGAACCGACGCGCATTGCCGCAATGGCCTCCCACGCCTCCTTAGCTGAGCTTTTCGTCCCCAACGGTTCCCTGTACTCCACGGTACAGCAGCGAGGATAGCCTCCAACGCTGACATGTCGTCTTCTTCCATGTCGGTGCCCTTGTCAACAGCATTCCAGAGCCATCGGGCTCTGAGCTTGACCTTCATGGTCACCGACCACTCTCCATAGTTAGTGCGAGTCAGCGTCGGCCAAGTGGTGCCGCTGACCTCCCACACCGTGCGGACAACTACCTCCGGTAGTGGCTGGGCAGCTATGACAGTGCCACTGCCATCGCCCAACTCCAAACCGCATGTCATCGCCGTCGGTTAGAATGACAACGGCGCTTGCATGGCTCTGATACCACTTGTTGGCCCACGGGATCACCGGCTGACGACAGTGAACTAGTTTCCAGACCACTAGTCTCCCAGACCAGACCACTAGTCTCCCAGACCACTAGTCTCCCAGACCACTAGTCTCCCAGACCACTAGTCTCCTAGACCATTAGTCTCCCAGACCAGACCACTAGTCTCCAGACCACTATACCGGTTGTGTCCGGACCCACACACTACGGATCGAGCTAGAAGAAGAAGAGAGAACAGAGTAAGTACGCACAATACAAGACAACAACGTTGGCCGAGGCCCTATCTGTGTGATGGCAAATCTGAGCTCTCTTTACTGAGTTGTCTTGGTGCCATATTTATACAACTCTATCTATCTAACTAAAGTACAGCGCACATGCTGTAACAGTAACTAGATAAGCATACAGGGCTGACTCTGCGCCGGCTACTGCATGTGCCTACAATGCTGCAGGTGAGCCATGCAGCGCCTACACCTGCAGCGCCTACTGTATTATAGCAGGGGGCAAAGTCGGCGTCGTCTTCCTCTGCTGTGTTTCACACGATGTGGTAGTAGATTAGCTAACAAGCCTTCAATGAAATCTAGAGAAACCACTTTCTAGGCTCTGTCAGGAAATGGGAGCGGCAGCAGCAGCCCTAGAAGCCTTGAACGATCAAGTTTGGCTTGTTGGCAAACTTGGCAAGAAGAAACAAAGTCGTGCACAACTGTCTTATTGCCAGTCCAAGCAAAATGTTTGCTTGAGGCGTTGATATGTGACGGGTATGCCCGAGTGACCGCCAATGGCTGTGGAGAGCATGGCCTGGATCAACCGTTGTTGTAGCTGAGAATCGGAGCCAATCCAGAATATGAACAGTGTTGCGAATATCTAGTGGTAACTCTTGCAACTCCCCTTGTAGTACTCTTGAAGATTCACCATAAGGAATTTTGAGCCTTTTTGTTTCCAATCCACCACCATAGGGCTGAAGCGAGACAACCAATCCATGCCTATAATAAGATCATACTGAGCCAGTGGAATCACTTTAGCTGTGGACTGGAAGAGACACTGCTGCACCGACCAATCCAGCTGTTTGAATTCCGAGGAACAGTGCAGAAACTGGCCATGCATCAGCTATTTTCACTTGGAGAGGAGGACTAAATGAAGTCTGACCTTGCAGCTATGGAGCAAAACTGGCGCTGACAAAGGTATGCGAGCTGCCCAAGTCAATCAGTATCTGGGCTGTGTATCCTTGGATCAACCCCTGAAACTGGATAGCATTGATAACAGACTTGCCATTCAGAGCAGCCACTGAAAGTGCCAAGAGGACCTGAGCATCACTAGTTTCAGCCACTTCCGATGTACAGTCACCTGAATCTTCAGCATGACAAATATCCCAGAACTCCTGTAACACATGAAGCTGAACTGTCTCAGAGCAACGATGATCTCAGGACCACTTTTCACCACACTTGATACAGAGACCTCGAGCCCAACAATAATCACGCAGGGTGTGTAGCTTGTCATCGACTCCACGCGAACGATGGTCTTCGATCGGGACAGGTTCAGTTGCCCCGCGGTCAGTCTTGTCCACACGAGGAGGAAGTGGTAGAGGAAATGCCCTTTTGAGCTGTGGCTTGCCGAATGGTACTGAACCAGGACGGCGAGACTCCTTGCTCCAGTTAGGATCTTGCAATTCTTCCTGCAACAAGGCAAGGACACTAGCAGTATCAAAAGTTTGGGGACGTTGCATATGAACAGTGTTGCGAATATCATCCCGCAACCCATCAACAAAACGCATAGCAAAGAAAACTGGATCAGTGGATCGACCGTAGGCCACCAACTGATCGATCAGCCCAGCAAAGTGATCAATGTAGTCCTGAACAGTAGATGTTTGACGGATACTAAACATTTGCCTAACCAAAGCTTCATACTGAGCTTTCCCAAAACAACCTAGAACTAACTAACAGAACTCTTTCCATGGAAGCTTTTTGACTTGTGGATCTAGAGATTGCAACCAACGAGCGACAGGTGATGAATTGACAAAATTCATCATCGCACACTTGATCCACACAGCAGGCTTGACAGAATATAAATCAAAGTAGTCCTCACACCAAGTGATCCATAGCCTAGGATTTTCTCCGTCAAATTTAGGGAAATTCATCTTAGGAATTTTGTTACCCGAGTGATTGTTTTCCCAGGGTGGCCACGGCTCATGGTGGCCGGTTCCCCCACGCCACCCGCCATGGTCACCACCCGAACCCCCCGCACCCATGGTCACCAGCACCGAGCTAGAGAGAGACGATGCAATTTGGGGAGGGAATGGGGTGGGATGCAACTGCGTACCCTTGACCAGGGATTTGAGTTCAAAACTCATTCCCCAGTGACTTGATTCAACGTCGTGCCCTAAGGACGGATGGAGCTGCTGGCCGTTGCTGGCGTAGGGAACACGAGCGGTGGCGGCAAAACTCTAGTTGGTGCTGCTGTAGTTGACTCGTGCGCGGCGCAGCTGATGGTCTTGCGAAGCACAGTCATCTCAAAGCGGATCTGCTCCACCGACTCATCGGTCTTGCGGAACGTGCCGATCTCGGTGCGCATCTCCTCCATGGACATGTCCGCCTTGGGCTTCCAAGTGTCGAGCACCTGGGTGGCACCCTCCAGCTTGTCAAAGCGACCCGCGATGGTGTGCTCGATGGAGTCGATCCGGGAGGACATCCTGGAGACGATGTTGGTGATTGAAGTATGCACGACCTTGATCTCATCCAGGAGCAACTTGAAGTTGGGATCCATGGCATCTAGCCATTTGCGGAGTCTGGTAAAGTGGTTGTGGATGATTTCGTGGGGTTCCAGTGTGGATTGCTCATGCCACCACCGCCGACCACACCAACCTCGGCTCAGACCTATGGGATTTCGACGAACACACCGAAGCGAGCCGGAAATCAACCTGCCGATGGGGATCACGATGCCGGGTCAAGACAGTGGTGAGGAGGAAGAAGGAAACCCGCAGAATCGATGTCTCTAATACCAATTTTGTTAACAGCAGAGGAAGGGGAATCGAAAGAATTAGAGTAGGCCAGGGAAAGCTAAGCAGAGGCAAGGAAGGACGAGTTCTTAGTTCATAGGAGAGTTTGTTACAATAATTTTACCCCTCTCGCAAGCCAAGGCTTTGCTCATATACAAGTCTCACGCACACACGCTACCAAGCTAGACGATGCTTCACGGGTTCTTCCACTCTAGGCTGTAGATACGTGGGTTTGGGACCTTGGGCCGTAGACGACTTGCTTCCTGATTGGCTTATGTTGTCAAGCGCGCAGCAGTCATGCCTGGTACTGGGCCTGGGCCGGTAGCTGGTGCAACATCAGAGGCAGTAACACATGCACGCTTGCTACTGCACTAATCAAGAAGCGCTAAAAAGGGATAAAAATCTTGGCAACTATAGTAGTCTAATTAAACATGCTCTTGCGGTCTAAGCGCTAGCCATATGGAAGAACGTTCAGACTAGACCTGAACTGTCACAACTTGATTGTGACTAGAGCATTTTCATCGACATCATGACCATTATCAGTAAACTATAAATTTGTTTTGAAAAACATGCCATGCTCAAAACTATATTTTATGGCCACTATCATATTCCCGCAGATAGAACACTGCACACCTAGACAGTCATGAGGATGTAGCTACAAACTTAGCAATTTCCACAAGCACGATGGTCCCACAGATAGTCTAGTGTCCGTCTGGATAGTTTGCTAGATCAGTATATGCACAAAGTGAGTTGTCCACATTTCAGCACCCCTAGCCCCGCGTATCAGCAAAACCTATCTCCATTTCTTGGATTGAGTCACCAAGAGCACTCTCACACTCCCTCACTCTCTCATACTCTCATCTTCACTCCCTTTCTCTCTCTATAGTTCATCCATCTCACTCTCTAGAACCCACCCAAGAGCACAAGGAGGAGGAGGAGGAGGAGGAGGAGGAGGAAGAAGAAGAAGAAGAAGAAGAAGAAGAAGAAGAAGGGGATCAAGAGGAGATGACCAGTAAGAAGACCATGGAGAAGAAGATCTAGGAGGCCACAAGTGCTAGGGATTGAAGAGGGAGGAGTCCTCCCTCCCTACCAAGAAGGAGCTAGGAGGGGATTTCAAGTAAGAGAAGACCAATGGGAAGGAGAGGTGGATCCAACTTCTTTCACTCACCAAGAATCTCTGCAACACCTCCTCCACCCTTTGGTAAGTTGATTTTGAGCTCAAACACTTCGAAGCACCATGGACTAAAATTAGGTGTTCACCACATAGGAAATAGCTTGAATGAATATTTGTTGCATTAGATGCAGTGTAGCTAGATTTACCTAGTTAGATATGCACTATATATGGAACCTTAGAAACACCCCCACAACCAGTTTGCACATGCACAAACCTTAGAGTTGGATTTCATTTTCGAATTGAAGTCCTAAAACATATGAACTGTGTTCCCATAGGCTATCCGGAGGAACACCGGATAGTTCACGAGAACACTCACTCATCACAAACACTTAGTTTCCACAACACTTGTTTCCATAGACCGTCCGAAAGATCAACGCAGTAAAAATTCAATTTTCAAACCTGAGGCTACCCATTTTGAGTCCTACACTCAAGACAGTCCACCGCTCTAACGGATAGTCCGAGAGAGTAGACACTTCGAAAATTTCAAGATGTTCCTACGAACAATTCCAGCCGCATGGTTCATGTTCCCACAAACAGTCCAACATTCACCTGAACTGTCCGCTAGGACACAAACAGTCTTTTTTTACACTTCACACATCATTGCAAAGCATATCATAGGTTTCTCCAACAATGACGATTGTCGGCAAATGTGAGCACTAACAATGATGTAAGAGTTTGATCTTAATTCCCGACAGAGCAACAAACAACTGGTTGTCAATAATCTATAGCTCCGACTGTTTCCTTTTTTTTCTAGCAGCACGATGGGCTATTGGGGTTGCTATGATTTTTGTCATGAACTCAGCTCAACAACATGTCTGAGCAACAGACAACTGGTTGTCAAGAACCTGTAGCTGACTGCTTCCCTATTTTTCTAACAGTATTATAGGTTGTTGGGGTTGTTGTGATTTGTTGTCATGACCTCAACTCAACAACACATGTCGACATTAGCATTATAGGAAAATGATCAGTGGTGGCTTCCCCCTCATCCTACGCCTATTCGACATTGATGACCTTGACTCCACTTCCATCTCATCAAAGTTAAGGGATCACAACAGCCAGGGAGGTTTTGGGCTCTGGATTTGGCCATGAGGATTTGGGGGCTAGGGTTCTGACCTTGGACGGCCAAATCAGCAATGCTAGAGGGAGGTAGATAGAGAGGATGAGAAAACAAGGCCAATATCTAGAGCATCACGTACACATTTAAGAGCCATATATCATAATATCCACCAATTAGGGTGTGTTTGGTTTGAGGAATGAGGTGGTCCATGTCTACTCATTCCTCACTTTTTTGTTTGGTTTGTGGAATGGAATAGTTGATGCATCATCACCTTGTTCCTCATAAGCTAAAGAATAAAGTCATTTCACCAAATTTGAAGAATGAACTCATGATGCACCACCTTATCTAGGATTGAGTGGCTCCTCAAACCAAACACCCGGTAATAACTGGCGGCAAAACCCCTGCCAAAAGCTACGTGGATGGCCACTTGGTTCTTGCGCATCCCCATATCTAATTTGAATCAGAATGTGATCACTTAAATATATTAGGAAGCCAAATATGCAATTTCTTAGTTGGAGGACCTAGATGAGAGAATCATATAATACTTGACTCGCGTTAAAAAATGGGAAAGACTAGCGCCCGGACACCCATGCCTACTGCCCGCCCACGTGCCTGACACGCTCCCTCTGCATGCCCAGGAAATGGTGCAGGCGACGCACTTCCCTTGGTGCATGTAGCCAAAGAAGGGAGGCGTGCACCGTGCCTCCGCCTCCCACTTTGCCTAGGCGGGCCCCACAACACATGCATGCAGCTCCTGCCCACCCGCTGGCATGTTGCTATTGTACCTGTCCGCGCGTTGCTACTGCTATTGTCGATGTGCGCTGCTGCTGCCGCGCCTGCTAGCCTAGCCCCGCCTACTACTGCGGTAGGCATGCGCCCGCGCATGCATATGGGGGCTGTTGGTATTTATTAACTTGTCACTTGTTTTAGAGCCACCTATTAATTACCTACATATCCTAACATTACTTTACTAGGTTGTCATCCCTAGTGATGGTGCCAGAGATGCTTTTTGGTACTGCCTAGCATCGCTACTAGAATGATACTAAGTAGTTCTTTATCATTTTATGTGACTAGAAAGAATATAAAAATATATGAATAAAAAGAAATCTGCAAGCACACAGATAATTATACCATTGTAACACTTCACCTGAGAGTATTATAGGTATCGTTATTTATATTTACCACAGGGAAGGTCTAGCATGGATATGTATTGATAATTTATACTATTGATGGAGAAGTAAACCATAACTAATATTCTACTCATAACAGGGGTAAGTCATAGGATAATATATATATATATATATATATATATGATAAGTATTGATCATCAATAATGATAAATCACTCAGAGTACTCTTTTCTATAGCATTAGCATGGTCAGGTAGAAAATTAGAGGAATAATTCCTAAGTCATTCTTAATTACAAGTCAAAGCATACATTGATTAGTGCAATTACACCTAGTAATCATGGCTAAGATCATCTTTATATCTACACATAAGGAATATTACTAAGGAAGATTAAGAACAAAGCTTGTCTTCCTTCGTAACTAGATCCTACTTGTATACCTATATTCGGGGAGTAGACTACAAAGGACTCAACGGGAGTGTCACATCCATGATCTACCACATGGCCCGGAATATAGGGTGTATCAGCAGATAAACAACGTATAAGCACCACACTTACACAATGTCGATCACTCACCCCGTGTACTTTGGAGTGAGCGCTTTGCAAACTTATGCATAAACATAATGATAAACTAGCTATACTAAGTATATAATCAAAATAGACGATGAACATTATAACAAAGAACATGAATAAGACGAATACTAGTATTGTCATAACAATTGTAGCAAGCATATAAAAATAATGGAGATATAAAAGAGAGGGGGTACAAGGATTATACCAAACCACGCTCTTGACACGATCAAAAATCCAAGCGAAGCCTGCTTGCCTTCCTCTAGATCTAACCTAACTAGCTATGCCCTAGAATTGATGAAACTCTGAGGACGATTAGTTTTTTTGTCTTCTCAAATGACTTGATGCCTCAGAGGGGTGGCAGGGGCTGGTATATATAGCCTAGAGCATCAAACGTGAGCCCTTGGATCAAACCGACTTAAGAAACGACGTAGATGCAACCTAGGAGGCAGTGGAGAACCGACATTGTAACGCGGAGGCTGACAGTGGGCCCCAAGGGCTGGCCGGCCTGCAGGTAGGGTCGGCCTGCCCCACCTGGTAGCCTCTGCTCTCTGTCTCAGCATGGTGTCCTTTGGTGTCCTCTAGAACCTTCTAGTGACCATTTCGCGGCGGATAAACGTAATTAAATCTAACATGTAGGTCCACCTTAATGGTTTTCTGGTTAAACCCTACAGAAAATACATATTCACCAAAACTCATAGAATTTATTAGTTTAAACCCCTAGACCTTTGTTGGTGATCATATTTTATGCCCTTATACATGTTATATTGACGGTTTATAATGGTTGTTAACTACCATCAACAGGGGCCGCGCACAAGCTTTGCTTCCCGCGAGCACACGAG